AACGATCCCTGGGCTCCATTGGAGCTGCCCCTTTTGTGGCCAGTCGCCACAGTATTGTATGTCCACAGACCACAGTCTACAATCCATTTTGAAGTTGAAGTTGATGTGGCCCGAAGTGAAGTGAAAAGAAGTGAAGTGAGTGGCACACAAAAGATGCCTGAGCCACACAGCAAAACAACAACAGAAACAACAAACAACCAACAACCAACAACCAACAGCCAGTGTGGAGACCACAAAACGGCAATTACATTGCCACATTTGCCAGAGAATCGGTGATGGAGCTCTGCCCCTGCCCCTGCCCCCGCCTCTGCCTCATTGCTGTGTGGCACATACAAAACAAATACAATCATAAATAATATGATTATGATACCACATTCGCCATAGTCTGGGGGCGCAGGCGCGCACTCTTGCATTCTAAAGAGGAGCCACAGCCACAGCCAAAGACCAAAGACCAGAGCCCCCCAACAACAACAAAGTTGACAAAACAGAAGATGGAAGAAAAAAAATAACACATGAGGAATGCCCATTGCGTTGCTGCACGTTCTGCTCTTTCGTTCAAGAAACTATGCCACATACAATATATTCGTATTCGTATTCGTATTCGTACTCACATATCATACGCAGAGTCACAGGGAAAGAGGGAGAGAGCAGAGCCACAGTCACTGCCATTAAAAAATCATAAAGAAGGGCCTGACTTCTTTGGCGACAGAAGCATCGTGTATACCCTTTGCAGTACGCAAATTTCCATTTAAGAGCTTCGTAAAATTATAAATAAATAATAATAATTAAATTATTGAAATACCAAACAAATAAAGAATACTAACAAAAATTCTAAATATATCCCAAAAATATTGATTTTTATAGAAAAATACTATAAAAATAATAAATCAATAGTGGAAAAATATTACTCAAAATACTAACGAAAACTAAATTAATTATAAAAATAAAAAATAAATAAACGTGAGTAAGAAAATACTACAGAAATTAAAATAAATACTAAAAAATATATATACCAATAAAACTAAAATAAATACGAAATATACCAAATAAATACTAAGAGAGGTTTATGTATTGCGCAAAAATTAAAAGATTAAATTTAATTAAAAAATTAAAGATTTAATATCCGAAATATGATTGAAAATATTTAAAAATTCGTTTAAAATTATATTTGGGTCTTGAATAAACATACATACATATATCTCCATATGTTAAAGGTTAAAGAGCTTAATTGAGAGATATATTGTACATAAATTCAATCGTTTCAGTTTCAGTTTCAGTGTTCCATTAAATCGTTTCCGTGATGGGTAGCACATCCCAATGGATATATTCCTATATTCCTATTCCTATACGCGGAGACGCTGCACAAATTTTCCCATAAACGAATGCCATTCCAATTTTCTCCCTTCAAGTGCAACGTCCCAACAAAAGCCACAATCCCCGGTCGGTTAGGGTATAGCACAAAATTGTTATTTCATTATCGTGCCCTGACAATCAGTCAGCGGCTCTGAGCCAAAACTTGAAATCAACTTTGGGGCCTCCATTTGCCGTAGCCGTAGCCCATTCGCTTGTTTCGTTGTTCGTTGTTCGTTGTTCGTCACGTTGTTCTTGGGTGTTAGCTATGCTGTTGAACATGATCGGGCCAGGCCGGGCCAAGAGCGGCACGGCACAGGCACAGCCAAAGCCACAGCCAAAGCCACAGCCACAGCCACTCTGTGGCCCATGAGTAATATTTGTTCAACAGCGGCATTGGCAGCGGCAGCAGCAACGCCCTTTTTTGTCGGCCCGCCCCCGCACCAGACCCCCAGCCAAAAGCTAGCCCAAACCCATTCCCAAAGGAAAAAAAAACTCAACGAATGGGGGGACCCATTAGCCTAAGTCAAGCGCCGCCGTTGCCCCGTGACTTAAAATTTAAGTTGGTTTTTTTTTTTGTATGTTGAGGTAACAACAGATCTGCAATAGATGGGGTATATCCGCTAGGAGGAAACCATATGGAAATCGAGAAAATTTTATGTAGAACAGGTAACTTCATGAAGCTGCTACAAGTTTCTATCTCACTATTCCAGTGTGGCTTAGCAGTGCCATTCCCTCTCTTTCTCTCCCAATGTGTCACCCTGCCGTGTCAGTATCTCTCTCCCAGTGCAGCTTGGCAGTGAAGGGGATCTGAAGGATAGATAGAGTAGAGTATCACCGATTCTGCATGACTGCAAGCCAAAAAAACAATCTCAAATGGCAGTTCTTCTGGGTTTCCCGCGTAACACCCGCACTTTTTGGTCGGGGCAGGGGAGGCGCCTCGAAGCGCAGCTGCCATTTGCTGTGGCATTTTTCAAATTTGCGCATTTGTCTGCGCTTTGCATAATTTTTGTCTTATTTATTTTGTGGTTGTTTTATTTTTCATTTATCTTTTTTTTTTCGTTCGCTGTTCATTTGCGCTGTGGCTGTGTCTTACGTTTTTTGGGTCATATTTTTCATGGTTCGAGTTTCGGGTTTCGAGTGTTTTGTTTGCCGGCTTCTAAGTGGCCAAAGAAAAGCGAAAAAAATAAACAGCTAAACGACAGAACTGGCGGCCAGAGATCGCGGCCCCACACAATGAGAAAACAAAACGACTGGCACATACTCGAACTCCACAAAACAATAAAGATCAGAGTTCAGGGAATGCAGAGTGCAGCGAAAAAACCATTGGCTAAAATCGTTGCTTCATTTGAATTTGATTGTCGCTAAGCCTTTCATTTGCGTGCATTTCTCAGGGCTAGCAGGGTTCTCTTGGAGGAAGTGGATTGGGCGGCGCCTCCATCAGCTCCAAGATACAAGCGGAGGTTGCTAAATATCGTTGCCTTTTGGTTTAAATTAAAAAATAAGCAACAAATTAATTTTACCGGTTGAATCACAAAATTGAATGGCAATTAACCGATGGAAAAAAATGCATCTGCATCTATAACCCTATAGCTAAAGTTCCTCTCAAAGTCCAGCACACTTAACTTTTTTTGGGTGCGCGGTGGGTGGTAGAGGTTTGACCCAGCACCAACCACTCAACATTTGACCCGTTCTTCGGTCTGAAACACATTCTCTCTGTCTTTCCCTACCCTACGAATCGATAGCGCTTCCACTCTTTTCCCCTCTGCCCCACCCACTCTGTTGCTCTTGGATCACTCTCCCACCAACACCCAACCGATTGGATCATTCATCCATCCCACTCCCACACCCAACCCCAACCCCAAAACCCGCAAGATTGGCTTTGGTGTAACAGTAATCCAGTTGCAGTGGAACCCTCTCCCTACCTCCCTCCCTCCATCACTTCATCTATGTTTTTTCCATCGGTTGCAACACGTTCGTTGCTCGAGTCTTTTGTTCCACGCAGATTTATGTCATTCTCTTGCTTTGCACTGTGAACGGGCAGGGCGATGGTGGGGGGGTGACTGACCAAAAACAAAAACCACTTTGATATTTCCCTTTGTTGTTGTTGCTGTTTCTTTTTGCTATTTTTTTTTGTTGTTCATTGGATTGCATTGCATTTTGCTGCCTGCTGCTGCTGTTGTTGTCTCTCTCTCTCTCTCTCTTTTGGTTGTGCATTCCTTGGGCCAGAGCGAACCTCAACCGGTTCTCAGCAGGTTCGATGTTTTGGTTGTTGTTGTTGCTTGCCATTTATCGCGTTACAACAACTAAAGAAAGAGAGTGATAGAGAGAGAGTGAGATGTATAGGTTCGTGGAAGAGGGGAGTCTGAAATTTGTTGTCAGGTTGGTTTCTAAGTGAGAGAGAGAGAACTCTTCTGGGCAACCAACTCCTTTTGCTTGCAATCATTTCTTTTGTTGTTGTTCCACTTCCTTGCATCCTGTTGAACCGGTTCAAAAAGAGCAGCAAGAGCAGTTTTTCGTGTTTTCCCAGCAGCCTTACCATTTTTCCCTTCAAATAAAATACAATTAAAGTCTTTCGTTTTGCCCCTGCATTTCGTACCACATTCAAACACATTCCACAAAACGCAACCGCAACTCGAACCACAGGCAACATCGAACCTATTCGAACGCATTTGTTCAACTCCGTCGACTTCCTTTTCCATACCAGTGCTTTATCCATATTCTTTTATCCTAATAATTCAATAAATATTACTTTTATTTAGATTAATTAAAAGAGTTTTCTTGAAACAGAATAAAACTATGTCCAATTTGAGCTTGAAGCAACATCCAACTCGAACTTAAGGCAACATACCAATGTTGCGCATTCTTGTGGGGAAGGAGTGTTACGACAACGAGGTTGTGCTTGCCAGCATGTTAGCAACATGCTAAATGTTGCTGGACGCTACCTTACTGTGCCCACACACCCTGTTCCAAAGCGTATGGGACATTTGAATACCCTTGGAAAATTAATTTTCTAATATTGGTGAAATGCATATCGCAGAAAAACCCATTAATATTCATAGAAAAATATTTTAGCTATTTTAAAATTTTAAAATTTAGCTTTTTAATTTTCATTTGAACTTCAGTCATCAACTAACATAAATGTCTACAAGCGAATCAAATTACACATGCACGTGCCCGAAATGTACACACCACGAATCGCTCGGGGACTCCCATTTCTTTTTTTAAGTCAACCCAAAACCAAAACTGTGCAGTTATTCAAAAAATTCTTTCATATATTAGAACCACAGGTTTTAATTTCAGAGTCGCCAATGTAATAAAATTCCCGGTTCTAATTTCTAGACATTTCTGTCAGATAAAGTTATTATATAATTTGTGCTTCAATGCTCTGACAATAGAACACAGGGTATACAAACAGGGTGTACATTCAATTCCAAGCACGAATGTTGCTGGAGAGCTCATACCTGAAACGCAAAACTGAGCTGTCGAGCCGCGACTCGAACCTTTGGGCCTTGACAAGGTATGGAACACAGGGGAAAATATCGCCAGCAACACTGCAAGATACCAGGAACCCCACCCCACCGTGTTTGATCAACAATATGCCATGAAGTTTTAAACCTTAAAAGTACGCTGGACGAAAAGGGTGAGCCTAGCCTGGCATGCGTCGTATTTTCTGGCCCGTTTCGCTGCTGTCCATACCTCTCTTTTGCATCAGCAGCACGCGCTCGCTGCCACGCAACATGTGTCCGAGCCACAGCAACATCTGAGGGCGGGCGTATTTGAAAGAACGGCCTTGCCGCCCCAATGTATCTCACAAATCTCACAAATTTTTCGGGAAGGAAACAACGTGTCGAATTTTTTTCTGAATTCAGAAAACTCGTCGTGAATTTCTCGTGGCTGTTGCTGCCTCTTACGTGCCGTGTACGTGTGCGTGTGCGCGCGTGTGTGTGTGTGTGTAAAGGAGAAATTATTTAAAAACCGGTTCTCTTTCCTTTGAAAATTGTCCGTATTTTTTTGTCGAAAACCCAAACAAAATATATAATAATTCGAGAAGAGTTTGTGCGTTTTTATCGGGAAGGAAGATAGACCTCTCACTCACACCACTCTCCATTCGATCCGATCGCTCCGAAAAACGCCGCGAAAACAACAACAAAATATAGCATTTATTATTTTTTTCTTGTGCTCCTGCGAAAAAAAATTGCCAACAAAAAGAAGTGTAAAAGTGTTCCAAAGAGAAATCCAAGAATAAAGAGAGCCAAAATCCAAAGCCAAGATCAAAGCAAAAGGAAAAATATTCAAAGTGCAAGAAAGAAAAGAGTAGAGGCCGAAAAGAAGTAAAAAAAAGTGTGCAAGAAATACAAGAAACAAAACAAAAAGTTGCAAAATTTACCGAAATTTTCGAGGAAGGAAGAAAAGGTAGGAGAACACAAAACATATGAAGAAGTAGATGGAAAAACGAAACAGTAACCGTAATATTGCTTTTGTGTTGTGTGTGCTGTGTGTGCGTGTGTGTGTGTGCGTGTGTTGTGCCATTCACTTGCATTTTGCGCCAGCGAGCGAGCGAGTGAGAGAGAAACAGATGCAGATCTCTGCAGCCTGGCTGCTGCTGCTACCTGCTCTATGCCCGTGTGTATGGCCCGTTGTACGGCCATGTGTGTATTTGTGTTGTGCAGATCAAGCTGCTCTGCTGTTTCTCTGTCTCTCTTTGCATTGCAGTGGGTCCGTTAGGGTACCCTTTTCTTTTGTAGGCGAAGGGCATTACGATTTTGATCAGCTATTTGGGTCGACGAAATGCATGCACATCGAATGTTTATATTCTTTCAAAATTTGTCTGAAACCTGTATAAACTGCATAAACTCTCATGGGTATTCGAATTGAAATGACTGGTTTTTCATAGGGTATCCCGCAAGCCTCGGTTCCTGTTTTGTGGTTATCTCTCCCTCTCTGTCTCTCTTTGGCTGTGAGGTAAATGATTTTAGTTTTAGTTTTAGTTTCTAGCGCGCCAAGTGCCTGACATTTAAATGATGGAGGGGGGGACTAGTGCATTCAGGGCACGGGGGAAGGGGAATGTGGCAGGTTAAGTGCCAGTCAATGTGTTGCATAAGAGAGACAGCCAGAGTAGAAGAGGAGAGGAGTAGGGGATAATGAGCCACAAGCGCCAATTCGAATGCCAATTAAGCGGAAATCTAAATAGAAAATGTCTATTTTTTTCGGTAAAATGGGAATTTTTTGTGGAAAAAATGGAAGGAAAAGAAAGAGAAGAATTCTCTTTAGGGAAAAGGGAATGAATGAAGGGGAATCAGAGGAGATCTCGCTAAGAGCAAAAGATAAACTGTTGCAATAATTTATAAAATACATAAATTATAGTTAAAAAAAAAAGTTACTTAACATTCACATTAAACGTAATTAAGAAGATGTCGTTCACTCTCTCTCGCTCTCTCGGGAGGAAACGGAACGGTGAAAAAGGTTCCCAAAGAATGCCGTAAAAACAATAAAAACAAAAACAAAGGAGATATAAACGGAATAAACAGAACGGTAGAACCACAAATAAAAAAGAAGAGAAGAAGCTGTGGGAATTGTGGAGCGACTGGAGAGGAGAGGAGGACGGATCTATGGGAAGAAGAATGTGGATTGTGGATTCCCGGAAGAAATTGGAAATCAGTTTGGGAACAACAGAGAGAACGCGAACGAAAGAGATAGATGGAGAGGATATCTTAGAGATGAAAAGATATTAAATGAAATGATGCGAAGTATAAGTAGCGACAGAGAGAGAGAGAGAGAGAGATTTAGAAGAGTGTTTCCTCAGCGAGAAATACCACAAGATTTGGATAATGATTAAAATTGCAAATGGATCAAACATTTAGAAGATAAAAACATATGTATGGAAAGAATAGAATAGAGGAAATACATGAGAATAAAATTATATAGAAATAATGCGCAATCGAATATGAAGAAACAGTAAAAAATTAGAGATACAAAAGAAACACTTGGTCACTTTCCCCACAGATAAAGATGAGGAAATGGCGTCTAAAAATATAAAGAAGTAATAACTGTAGAAAAATAAGTAGATAAAAGAAATGCAAAGAATACATAAAGATATGGAAATAGTAGAATGAAAATATGTATATGACAATGGGCAGAAAAAGTACAGATAAAAGGGAAAAGGCAAATGGCAAACAAATAGAAAAAAAAAAAATATATATATACAGTTGTGTTCTGATGGCCGCCTCCACTTCCCTTTTGGATCTAGCTTTCGGGCCTGGGCTGGGTCTTAACTGACTCCATTACATTGCATTCTCTCTGTTATTTATGACTTTAGCCTACCCGTGCATGTGGTGGGTTTTATTTTTATGCACTATTTGCACCACGGTTGTTATTGTTGGTGGCGGCTGTTTTGGGCGTGGGCGGGCGGCCTGGTCTGGGGGGCCTTATTATTCTTGGCTGTTTTGGGGGGGTGGGGGGACCGGCCTACTCCCGGGGCGGCAGGGTGACTTGGCCGTTGGGCCGGTCAGGGCCTCGTGCGCAGTGGGGCCGGCGGCTTTGCTGGTTGTTGTTTTGGGTCTCAGTTTGGTCCGCGTACCACCTCTGTTGCTTGGGGGGGGGGGGCCGCCGGCTGTCTTCTGGCCGGGGGTGGTGGCGGGGGGTTCTGCGTCCGGTTAACCGGTGCCACCCTGCCGCTGTTTTAGGGGTTTCTGGCCCGCGGCCCGGGGCCCCGGCGCACGTGGCGTGGGTGGCGTTGGCTAGCCGGCCGGGTTGCCCAGTCTTGCGCGCGGGGGTTTCGCTCACACTCGTCGGGCGGCCGCCGGCTCCGGTTTTGGTACGTGACATGTGTGGCGGGGCAGGGGGGGGATACCACTGTACATACAGTGATGGAAAAAATAATAGAAACGGCATGCGCATTCAAATTTGAAACCAAATATTTCATTTTTGGAGCAAATTTTTTGAATAAAAACAACTGTGCTTAGTGTCAGGATAATGGGTGTTTACTTTGGATTCTCTTTTGGGCTCCTTTCGTACAAATTATAAGCTAGGTACACTAATTTGTAGGAAGATCACGTTTTTGTCTTGGAAAAAATAATAGAAACGCATTCCAATTTTGTTCTTATATTGTAATAAAACGGTTAAAATCGAATTATTTAGGTAATATATTATCGCCAAAAGACAAAAGAAGATATGAAATACCTATTCCTAAGGATTCCGTTTTTGTTGTTGTTATTATTCGGTTCAGAATGGGTCGTGGAGTATATTGTAGGGATATTAAAAAAAACATATCCTAAATCTAAAAACTGAAGGCCACACAAGTTCAGATGGTCACACATATCTAAAATGGATTTAAAAAAGTGTTTACTTCGATTTACTACAAAAAATAGCGAGACACACGCTTATGAAAGCCCGCAACATGGGTTCATTTCGACAGGCGCATTGTTCGAAAATCCAAAAAAAATCCCTTTCTCTCGTTGATAGATCTGAAAAATGTTCTTAAAGCACGGGTTAGTAGTCGTACTATAAGGAATAGGCTGATTTATGTCAATTAAAAAGGTCATATAGCTCAAAAAATATAACACTACTTTCCAAAAAAAGTTTAGAAACCGAGTAAATTTCGCGAAGGTGCATTTGGGTCGTCCAAGTTACAAAAATGTGTTAAAGTCATATGAAACTAAGGTAAATGGGCTTATATTTGTTGGGGAACTTCATATAAGGCATTTTAATACTACTTCTCACGACCCAGGTATTCTGTTAAAGCGGGTATGCATGGTGGTGGGCACATAATGTTGTGGGGATGCTTTATCCATTCGGTTGTTGGTCCAATACTTTGGATATAGAAAAAAATGTGTGCCTCCGACTATGTAAATATACTCGACAGTATAATTCTGAGTAGGAAATACCATTAAAGTGGTAGTTCGATCAGGATAATGACCCGAATCACTCCTAAATACTGACCAAGAAATGGTTCCTGGACAAAGAAGTTTCCCAGATGGATTGGCCTGATGGAATATCAGACTTTAATCCTATAGATTACCTTTAGGAGATCTTAATGAAAAGAACTGGTGGCTATAAGACCAAAAATAGAAATGATTTTTGTCAAAATGCGTTACATAAAACAGAAGTGGTTTTCGAGGTTTGGGTACAAAATATCAAAACTCTGCGAATTGGATAGGGCTATCTGCTTAACATTTTTTGTGCTAATAAATAAAGTATTAAGAGTTAATTTTCAAACTTATTAAATGTAAAAACTATTCCTCTTTTTTGTTAAAAATCCGCGGAGGCATCTGGCGAACGTTACTGGCGTGACGTTACCAAATTCCGCGATTATAAAAGCCTAAAAATATACTGTTAGCCGAGGTTGGACAAACACTCTGATAATGGTTTTAGGTAGTTTAATATGTTAGAAAGAATTTAAGGAAAAACTTGTATCAATAATCATCTTCTTCCTAAGAGATAATAGTAAAAGGAAAAAATTTCTATAAAAATACCAGAAAATACCAAAAATGTGAACTTATTTTCATAGGTTTTAGGATGAAAGTTAATGAAATTATATGTCAATAAAGTAAATAAGTTACCCTTCAATAAATTTAGAAAAAAATATCCGGAAAAATGATATATAAAAAATGGTTTTTATTGACTTTTTATGATTTTTGGCCTGGTGGACCTTTTGGCGGAACTGCCCATATGTACCTTTATGCATAAAACATTCCTTGGAAAAGGAAAAATCTAAAAGAAATTAAACAAAAAAAACGTTTGGAAAATACAAAAATACTTGATATATTTTTATGATATTAATACAAATTAAATATGTAAAACCACAAATATTAAAATTAGGCTATATTAATAAACAAAGAATAACAAAAATGAATTAAAACTACAATAAAATATGACTAAATTCCATTAAAACAGGTGAAATCCAAAGAGTGGCGGCTAGGGGAATCAATTAAAAAAATAGGTCTGAAATGATACATAGAAGCTAAATTCTTAGAATAAATAGAATACAAAAAATATATAAAGTAGCGGAAAGATGAATACAAGATTTGGCTAAATTGTCAAACCACAAAAAAAAAAGATTTTGGAATGCAAACCGCAAACATTTTTGGGTTTACTGACTTCTTCCATTCAGAGAATTCTCTACCCAAACATTCTCACGCGGTCGAAAGAAGAGAAGTCTCTTTTCTGTCTCTCTGTCTCAGGCTGTCTCTCAAAAATTGAAAATTATTTCATCCAGAAAGATGATTTCCCTGTGACATTTGTGGCTCTGTTTTCAAGCGTAATTTTCTTCAAATTTTTTTGTTTTCAGAGAAAAAGTTGAAGACAAGTGTGTCCCCCCTATCCTCCTTTACCCCTCTCTCTGTCACTGAGGTATAGGAGGGAGGGGGTGTGTTGGGAGGTCAAGTGGTTTTGACCGTGAATGTGCACAAAGCAAAAAAGAGAAAGAGACAGAGACAGAGAAAGCAGAGAAGAGAAGGGAGAGACGAAAATTGTCATGTGAGAAAAAACTACAGAGCCATGACAAAACGATTTTCGAGAATTAATTTGTGGAGAAAAAAGAGTGCTGTGAAAACGGGTGGGAGAAGAGTGAGAAAAGGGGGAAAGGGGTATGTGGGCACAGCCAGCCATTTAGCCAGAATTTTCCAGTATTCGTATTGTTTTTTTAGCCGCTTATCAAACGCTTTGAATCGAGAAATAAGAGTTCTCTTCCCCCTCAGCTTCTTGTATTTCGATTGAAAAATCGTTTCGGAAATATAATATCTTAAAAGTTCTCGCTTTCTTGCCTTTTTCACTCAATTAAAAAGGCAAACTTCGATAGAAACTACACGAATTTATACCCATTTAATTCGTGTAGTTTCTAAGGGGATCAAAAGAGGATAAAAAATGTAAAAGAAGTTGGAGCAGTGCAAGAATATGAGGTTTAAGTAGGGAGTAAAGTGCGGCAATTAGTGCGAGAAAAGCTGGTACAAAAAGGGAGAGTAAAGTGCGCCAATAAGTGGCAGAAAAAAGAGATTACAAAATCCATGGATCAAGTGGGATGAAATATAATTGGCAAAAAATAACAAGATAATGCAATGTACTTGTATGCACTACCTTCCACTGCACATTACTTCCGTTCGTACTCACCTTCCATCATTTCCTTCCCACCATTCCTCCTCTCATTTGATAATTCCCTCCCCCTCCCGACACAAATGACAGTTTCCTCCTTGACTTAACTCCCATAACGACAGCTGACATAGGAGCACAAAAATACTTGTATTTTCGATCCCCAAGCGATAGATTTAAGACAGTTTAAAGAACAAATTAAAAAGGTTCTTCTCTGGGTTGGAATTCGTAGGACTTCTTTTCAGAAAAGAAATCAGTTTGAGGTACCAAATCTTAACATTATTCCATTGATATTCTTGATCAGAACGGAATAAGAGAAGGAATTAAAAGACAAAAAAATTGGGCAGTTTTTGTGATCTTTTACTTGAATTTGAACTGTTGGTTAGCAGTGAAATATATCAGAATAGGTATGTAAAGACATATCTTGAGACTCAGTTTAAATTTTCAAGTTTTCCTTCACCTGCCGTTCTGTCTCCTCCTGATCTTCGTTTCGTACTACATTTTTCCATTCCATTTCCCAGTGAGCAAAAACCCCTCAGGTCTCCCTCGCTTTTTTATTGTTTTTTTAATTTGTGTTCTTTATTAGTTTTTATTGCTTTTCTTTTTGCAGCGTTTTGTGGCAGGCAGGCAGCGTCCGACAAGTGTAAAAACAAAGACAAATAGTTGTCTAAAGAAAATGTAAGGAAATTAAATGTGGGGAAAACTCAGCTCCACTGTCTCGTGGTCTTACTTTTTGAATAATTTTGAATGTTGAAAAATGGGGTTTTCCTGCTTCCATTTTCCATAGGTAGTACTATTTTCTTCCATTTCATTTAGATGTCAGATTTTGCCACATGTTTTTCTTAAGTAAATTCGAAATGCAGGGAAAATAGAAATCTGCGACAACAGTTAAACTATAAGAGGAGCATCTCTTCTTTATAATTTTTCTAGTTTTTCTATACCATAAACTTATTTATCTCCAATCAAAAATTTCCCATTGCCAAAAAATGTATCTCCATAATAAATAGGAAATGTTATCCAAAGTACCCAAAAAAGTGCTCGAATATTTTGCAGAATTTTATTCTAAACAGAAAATTTATTAAAAAAAAGTTTAAAATTTAAAAAAAGACTTAAAATTTCTTCAAAAATAAACAAACACGAAAATCATTCGTTTTCCATGCCATTCTAGGAACCAACAAAAAACTCAATCAAATGAAAATCAAAAACTTCTTTCATCTTTTAGTATCCCTCTCCACCTAATTTTGTTTCTTCAAATTGTATGACTCCTCAAATTAAAATGCAAAAAAAAGAATCAAATCAAAACGCAAATCGATGGCTAAAATGTTGGAATATTTATTGTTGTGGAAGAGAGGGAAGTGGGTTCCCTCTGCGTGACATTTAGCGGCCCCGGTCCTCCCCCCCTCCCCACTAGTCGCCCCACCATGACTTCGCGTAATGTCATTCCATGCGAAATCTGAAATCTCAGCAGAAAAAAAGAAGCGAAACAGACAGCAGAAAAAAAGAACCAAAAGAAGAAAAAAAAAAAAATAAAAACAGAAGCAAAAGCAACAAAACCAAAACAAAAAAACGGCAGCAAAACTTCTTGGCCCTGAGACCAAACCAAAAAAAAAAAGAGGAGACATGGCAGAAATTTTTGGTAATTCGGAGCGTTTAATCATTTAAAAAGCATCTTTGTAAAAAAAATGTGTAGCGGGTGAGGGTGATGGGAAGGGGATTATGTCAGGGGAGGGGTGGTGGGGGAGGCATCACCAGAACAAAAGAAATAAAAGAAAGAAATAAATTTGTTCTTGTATTTTGCGGATAAAACAGTCAAAAGTTGTCGCGAGGAGGGATACGTAGGGAGGAATACTACTAAATACGCGATGGTAGAGCTAGGAATACTAATATTGATGGTGTAATGGGAATGCCTACACTTGAGGGTGGATGGAGCAATATTACTTGGTTTTGGACAAGGAAAGAATAGTATAAATAAATCTGGGAAATTCAATATTTGCTCGTCATCATCTTCACCCCTCTGCAAAAGCCTCTCTTTCACACCTCTCTTCCCTATTCAAGCCTACATTTCTTTCCCTCTCTTGCTTGCTCCTTTATTTGCAGTCTTCTCTTTTTCTTTCACCTTCCGGCAGCATCTTCTTCCACTACTTCCACTTCCAATCCCCTCCCCGTTTGGTCACGCATTGAACTAAAAATTGAGGTCAAAATAAAGCCCAAAAAAAACGGCGACTTCCGTCATAATCGACTATAAAATACCCATTAAAATGATTTATTCGTGTGGAAATGACCTGAAAATGAAAGAAAAACAATTTTAAATGAGAAATGGAGTGATAAGATGAAATGAAAACGAATTTGATATACCCTGGAAAGGGCAATAAATAAAGGAAGGAAATCCATCCATGATTCCCTAAGCTACCTCAATCCCATCTTTACTGCCTCAAGCCTTACTGCACCTTCCTTACACTCTGCCCCTCTTCTTTCTTTCCCTCACCTCCTCCCCCTCTCTGTCTTCCCACACCCCAAAAAAGATTGCCTTTGCCAGCGGCGGCCGAAAAGTTACAATAACTTTTGCCACAGTTTAAGTTGGCCGCCGTTTTCGTATCTTTTGTGTGCGGCGGCGAAGTATCTTTTGCTTTTTGCCTTCTGCTTATTTTTTTTTTTGCTTGGTCAAAGGAGGAGGATGGAGGAGAGGGTGTGGCAAGTTGTGGGGGGTGTCAGTGTCATTGCTACTCGAATGCATTTTAATTCGATTGAGTATCTTTTGCGCCGTCTTGTGTCAAGGGGAGGCGAGGCAGAGTTCTTACAGTCATTTTTACAGGATAGCAGATACAGAACTGAGAGTATATGCAACTAAATGAAGTCCTTGGAACCAGAAAATGGGAAGCAAATGCAAGACATTAACTTGGGGAAAAATTCAAAAGGAATATAATGAAATATATTTCAATTAAGTTTTGAGATTTTATCAATGGGAAACATATTTGTTTGAGGGTTTCTAGGGTTTTTTCAGTGAGATATTTGAAGGATGCGAAATAGCTTAACAAAATAAAGGCACTTCGAGGAGTATTATCTAGTGCCATCATATATTTTTTGTTTTTAATACATTTCCTTTGGCTTTTGTTCATTTATTTTTCATTCAAGAAAATGAAAGATTTTTCCACTTACATAAAACGCAAAAAAAATGTCGTTTTTCATCTATAAATCTTCTGTACATGATTTATAAATGGAATTTAGGTTCGAATGGAGCAATTCGAACGAAGAACGAAAAATGAATAGAGGACTGGTTTTGCCAATCAAAAAAGTGTTAATTTCCTGAGCTTTTATGCGTGTAAAATGATGATAAATATTCATTTGTGAATCATAGACTGAAAGATAGCTTTAAAGTGGACTTAAAAGAGAAACAAAAAGCAGCTGAAAAACATCGCAAATGGAATGCAAAGTTATATTGTAACATTACTTAACAAGTAAAACAAGGGCTGAATAAAAGTAGGATATCTAGGAGATACAGCCCATGTACAGAACTATTGTTGAAAAGACATCAGATCTTGGCGACTCTTAAGATTACAGGAATCTTATGTAAAATGTATGGTTTCATTATTTTTTAAGAAAAGGCCATTATAGGAATAGGACACTTTTTTAATATTAGAGTCTATTTATGATTTAAGACTATTTAAATTTCAAAGATAAGTATGAGATTAAATGACAAAGAAGGAACAACCTCAATTGAAAGTCACTGTTTGTCTTTTAATCAAATTTGTACACATATTTTTTTTGGCATTTTTTAATTTTATTTAAATGTGAAATGCCAGGCTTTTTTTAAGGTGGGAAATGTTTTATTTATTTATATTTATTTATTATTATTTATATTTATATATTATTATTATTTATATGCATGTATTTATTTTATTTATTTAGTTTTATTTTTCATGCAAATTTACTAAAACGATCCACGCGTCCTTTCCTTTTGCAGGTAGAACTTACGAGTGGAGTGGAGAACCGCTTAGGTGCAGAGAAAAGTCAATTCTTAAGGATGCGCATCTGTTGGATGCAGCCAGGTCCTTAGAGAAGATTTGAGGCGTAAGAAAAGGAGCAGCAAGGAAGAGAAGCAAAAGCAGCTGCAACAGAGTAGCGGCAAGCAAGGAAGAAGCAAGAAGGAAGAACCAAACACAAACAAACAGATTTCAAGGTAAGTGGAAGGCCGGCCCACCTGTTGCCTCTAGAGGAGTCTCAGGACCCCTGCCACACCCCCCTACATATCTCTCTCTCCCTCTGTAAAAAGTATCTGTATCTTAAGGGCAGACGCCGCTGCTGCTGCTGTCAAAAGTGAGCGCCAAAGTTTACGCTTTCGACTTTTAGATACTTTTGCAACCCCTGTCACCCATGCCCCCCTGCCACCACAGATACAGATACATCCGAAGCCTATCCTTCTCCTGTTTTATCCTTGCCCCCTCTTCCCCTTCTTTCCCTCCTGCCTCACCGCTGCTTTTGTTTCGCTTTTGTATCTCTAAGATACTTTCTCTCTCCACTATTTTCTATTGTTCTTTGGGTTTTCGGTGTGGGGTTTTCCATCAGTTTTCTGTGGGATGTTTTACTTCAGTTTTTCGAGGGTTTCTCCCCTCAGTATTCCTAAAGTAGGTTGGGGGCGGTGTTTTCTTACAGTTTTTAGAAGGTTTTCCTTTAGTTTTCTGCCGTTTTTGGAAGGTTTTTCTCTGGTTATCGTTTAGTTGTCTGCAAGGTTTCATGCAATTTTCCAGCTGGAAAAACTTGTGTGTTTGGAAAACATTGCTACGTCTTCTTTTTGTTGCTTTCGGATACTATCAATATTTTTGTTGTTTACATTTTCCGCGTATTTACCACTTGCCCCTCCTGACATTGCGTTTTCTTCAATTATCATTTACCTGTGGAAAACGAGATGTTTGTTTTTCCGCTTGTTAAAGGAAACCCCTTTTGCGGGAAAGTAGGAAAAATGTTGGAAAATTATCATCAGAATGGAATATATTTCAATGATTTTTGGTTGGAAAAATGGATAAAGCGTAAAAAATATTGATGCATATTTTCCACCAATTTAAACCAATTTTCAGAAATTTTAAATATTATTAAAAAAATTTTATAAAAAAATAATTATTAAAAATATTATTTAAAAAAAGAAATGCATTAAAAATGGAATGTGCTGGAACCTGGAATATAATTTTATGGCAAAGACACATTTAATTTGTGCAATTTGTGCTGTCTCTCTCCAGCTCTAGCAGCGGTTGTAATCGGTGGACGAAACTGTCCCCCCGAACAGTGCACGAAGAGTGTCGTGTCCCCGAAGATTGCCCGAAGAATGTGCCCGAACAGGCGCCCAAAGAATGGTAAAGGGAGATAGATACCACCGTCACCGACCCTCGACCCTCGGCCACGATCTGCTTAACGCATGCACGGGGTACCTGCCCCTCCACCGAAACCCCCTCTCTCATCCACACACTACTGCAGCAAACAGTCAGCTCTTCTGATGCTCCCTCCCCTCACTCTTGCAGCAAACAGTCATCTCTCTCCCCCCAACTCCAACTCTATCTCTATAAGAGTCACCTATTCCTTGCACCTCCCCCCATCCATCATTCACTCTTCACCTGCACACACAGTCACACGGAATTGCCCCCTCCCTCTCTCGCTCTCTCTCTCACTCTGTTCACTTGCACACACCTTCCCTGTCCTCCTTTCCTCCTTCATTTCCATACCATTCCCCCTCCCATTCCACTTGCTCAGACAGTCACCTACCATTACCCCTTCTCCCTCTAACGTGTTACCTATGGCAAGCTCTAGCACGCATATTCTCCTCCCTTCCCCTACCCACCACTCGCACCGCTCCACTCATCCATCGATGGCATCGAAGAACCATTGAAATTTAAATCAATTTGATTCTGATTAGCCACACACGGAGTTTGTTTTTTTTCCACCGCCTCGTTTATTGTTGTTCTTTGAAACCTTTTTTTTTTGTTGGTTTGTTACCTCTACCTACTCCCCCCCTTCCTGCACCAACGACGACGCAGCTACGCAACTCTCCCCGCCCCTCTTTCGCGCACAACTCTTTCTCTGCCGAAGCACCTCTAGCCACCCGCCCCCCCCTCCCGCTCTAGAGCAAAAATTCTCACTATTTTTTTTTTTTCTTGCTGTTTACTGTTGTTGTTGTATTTTGTCGCCATGGTTTTTGGAGTATGGAGTTGTTGTTGCTTTTTTTGAGTCTTTCTTTTCTCGCTACCACCCCCTTCCCTTCTACCGTTTCAACGCGATGCCGATAATTTTTTTTTGATTTTGCTTGTGTTGTTGCTGTTGGGTTTGTCTTTTCTTTTGTGCCTACAAAAACTAGTAACAAAAATTAGTTTTTTATTATTGGAGAAGAACCCAGAACCAGAACAGGTTTCTTTGCCACTTTAAACAGTGACAGAAAGGGCGGAGAGAGAGAAAGAGAGAGAGAGAGAGAGAGAGAGAGATAGAGAAGCGAGAAGAGGAAGGAATGTGTATATGGGTTTGTGTGTGTGTGTGTGGCACACACGCAGGTTCTTCTTTAAGCAGCAGCAGCAGCAGAAAAAACGCGACTCGAAAAACTAAGGAAGAGAATTCTTTCACAGTTCTTTCGCCTGAAGAAACCTGTTTCAACGCGATACAGAAGGAGGAAAAGAGAGGATCGGCTCCATATCCATTCCCCGTGTGTGTCCCTATCCCTCTTTCTTTGAGGTTCTTCGTCGTTGTTTTTTTTTTCGCTCGATTTTTTTTAACACTTTCGTGATTTTAATTTTTTCCGTTGCTGTTGGATACCCTTTAGTCCAAGGGAAATAGAGAAAATTATTAAATAATTTAATTCATTTTTGTTTTTTTTTTTAAACAAAATCTATTAAAATGATTAAATTAAATTAAAATGAACTAAAATCATTAAATTAAAATTAAATCTATTAAAATAATTGTTCCCCATCATTTAAACAGTTAATCCAACAAATAAATTTTATTACGAGGTAATCCCGAGTCTAATTAATGTTTTCCACGTTCCTTTTTTGGTTAAAAATCAATTAAATCAATGGGTAAATGCATAATAGACACCTTTTACATATGTATGTATGTATCTACCTTTGGCTCCTTTCAGGCACTTCTTCCCCTCCTCCTTCTGCATTGGTTCTCAAAACAAATTATGAACAAACACAGAGGAACAAGAACAAGCAGAAAGAAGGAAGGAGGAGGAGGAGGAGTATGAGTATGAGTGTGAGATGCCCATTCCAATGAATATCCCATTTATGAATATGTGTGTGTCTTCCACTCGTAAAACTACTGCGAGAAGCTCCTCAAGTAGCAGCAGTACAGGAGTGGGAGGACTAGAAATAAGAGTAGCAATAGGAATAGAAGAGGAGAAAGCGGTAGGAGTAGGAGGATTTTATACCCAAAAAAAATCTAAAGAACCGAGTGAATACAAATATATGTACAATTGTGTTCAATGAAATAGTGGCCTCACTACTTCACCTTTTGGTTTGCCAATGCGTGTTACGGGCTGGGGGGCGCCGTACTTCACTTTTCGGCCCAGGCTTGTTTTCAACACCAATAAACATATATCGCATGTTCTTCATTCAACGTTTTTATCAATTTGGTTTTCATTTGCGAACTTGGCCGGATATGGGTCTTAATTGCCCGCTTCTAGGATGAGCCATGAACCACTTGCTACTAGGTTGGCACGGTTTGGTTACAATGTATTGGTTCCACTGTTCGTGGTTTATATCCAGTTGGCCTTGGAAAACGTCTTTCGTAAAAATAATTCCTAGCGTTTTCGGGTATTTTAGTCATTATCTGTGATCTTTTACATGTTTTACTTTTTGTTTAATGTTTCTAGTTCCTCTCCAGTCGCTCCCTACTATCCAACGCCAGGCTAGGTACTAGCTTTTGAGGCCCTAAGGCTCAGCCTTCCATGCCCATGCTATTTTTCATGATTTTAAGTGGTAATTGTTTCTGTGGCACATATTCTTTTGTATCTACCTTTCAACTTTACTATCATCAGTGTTTTTGTCACTGTGACCGGCCTCCACATGCGTTTTCCAACTGGGTGCCCCTTAACCCACGGGGCTTTCTGGACTCTTGCATCAATGTGTATCAACCGGAACCGCACACACTGCGAGGTTTTTTTTTTATTTTGAGGGTCTTGCCTTCGACCATCGCCGCCATCCTCTATATTTTTTCTCAAATCGTTTCCAGTCTACTTCTTTTAGTTATTGGGTTTCTGTGGGTGCCTACAACTTAATTTTCAATTCCAATATCCTCCTGCCTATTTTTAGTCTCTCTTAGTATCCTCTTCTGACCGAGCATGTTCTTTACGCTTCAAATCAGTACCAGTCCAAAACTTTCTTTCATCAAATTATTCAATCACCAATTGGTTCGTGGTGACTTATTTAGTTAATTTGCTTTGTTTTTTCATTTTTATTTTTAACCCACACTACTATTTCATTGACGAGATATCATGGTATCTGTCATGCAGAGATGGATGCAAATGTACGGGTCTCGGTTCCAATCCTACATTCCAGGCTTTCCGTAGGTATCACTGTTCATTGACTAGAACTACTCAAAGATTTTGGTGTGAGGTGCGGCACTACTATTTCATTGAACACAACTGTATATGTACATTTAATAAATACATACATACTACATACACATGTATGTATGTACATACGAGTTGGAGTATTATTATTATTCCATTCCATTCCATTCCAATGCCATCATCATCATCGGATGCGCTCTGTTTGCCATACACTTTAATTCTTCTACTCCATCTCTCCCTTCCCTCCCACTCTCTTCTCTTTCCACAGCATTTTCGCCTCCCCCCTTTTTCTCGCCCTCTTTTATTGTTGTGTTTGTGTTTGTCGCTGTTTATGCGCCGTGTCTAATGACAGTTTTTGTGGTCATTATTTGAAATGAATACTCATAGTATATTCGTGAATATATGGTATAAATATATCTGCGTGGGGTGGCACGAGTATGGGGCTGATGGGGAGTGGCACATTTTTGGCAATTAAATGTTTGAGCCATAAATTAAATGTGGCATAAAAACAAAAAGAATCGAAAGATTGGCAATAGAAAAATAAAGATTCAAAGAACGATTCAGTGTTTCAACCAATTCAACCAATTTATGCCCAATTTATGGAAAGTATGAAAAAAATACACCCATGAATA